CTGTCTCGTTTTCTGCAGCTGACAAACGGGTTCAAGCTGAATGGTGTCCCGGATGATGCAATCCGCCTTCATCTTTTCCCCCATTCTCTGGCAGGGAATGCTAAGAGGTGGTTGGAGACCCAGCCCCCATTGTCCATCACCTCTTGGGACGATCTGGCGGACAAATTCGTGCACAGGTATTATCCGGCATCGAAGACTACAGAGATTCAGCGGGAGATCACTCACTTCCGCCAGGAGCCAGAGGAGTCACTTCGTGATGCTTGGGAGCGGTACATGGGCTACTTCTGGCAGTGCCCCCACCATGGCTTTAGTGATGCTTTCACAGTGGGGAATTTCTACAGCGCTTTCTCCCCAGATAGCCAGAGGGTGATTGAGTCTCTATGCCCAGGAGGAGATATTCTCACTAAGACTCCACCCGAGCTGAACCAGATGATCAGTACTTTGGCTGCCAGAGATCATTCTTGGGGACAGGGTAGCCGAGGCAGACAGTCCCGGGACCGTGGTGTGCACGCCATGGAGACCAGATCCGGGCTCGAGCAGCAGGTAGCTGAGCTAGTGCAGACATTGAAGCAGCCCAACAGTCTGATTCCGGGCAGAGGTTTGGCTACACCTCCAGTAGCTCAATGTCAGTGGTGTGAGAGCTCCAATCACCTAGTGGAGGACTGCCAGGCTATGAGGGAGTCTACCACACCCCAGGAGCAGTTGGCCTTCATCGCCAATGCGAGGCGCCTCGATCCATACAGTAGCACATATAATGAGGGGTGGCGCCAGCATCCCAACTTCGCCTGGAGCAGCAACACCACTAAACCACCTGGTTTCCCAGCACCAGCAGGTGGTTTTCAGCAGAGGCAGCCCTTCCAGGCTTGCCAGGGGCCAGACCCACAGCAGCAGCCCTACCAGCCTAGGCAGGGCCAGCCATTCCAGCAGCCCCAACGCCAATTTGCCGAGCCAGCAGCAGCTCCGGCCCCAGATGACAGGATGACGAAGCTGGAAAACATTCTAGCTTCATTCATGACTAGCACCCAGGCTGCTATCACATCACTGGAGGCAGGTCAGCGGAACCAGGGTGCCATTTTGCAGGATCTGCAGACCCAGGTGGGCATCTTGGCCCGCCAGAGCACCACCAGGGCACCGGGGACTTTGCCTGCCACCACTGTTCCTAATCCTCGAGATCCTCACCAGCATCAGCAGCTGGATGCCATTTTTACCAGGAGCGGTAAGGTCATATCTGCTGGTCCTGTCCCGGCCAGACAGGAGGAACCACTACCTGTTTCAGCACTTCCAGCCGACGATGCAGAAGTGCGGGTGGAGAAGGAAGCCCCTGCTCCCAAGCCACAACCAGTGGTTAAGGAGCATGTACCCCAGCTTCCCTTCCCCACTCGCCTACACAAGGACACGCTGGAGACTGAGTTTGCCAAGTTCATGGCAATGTTGAAGCAGCTCAACATCAGCATACCGTTCATGGAGGCACTGTCGAAGATGCCCAAGTATGCCAAGTTCATGAAAGATATCTGCACCAACAAGAAGAAACTTGGGGATCTCTCGACAGTGATGCTGAGCGAGGAGTGTTCTGCTATCCTGCAGAACAAGCTGCCCGAGAAGCGCAAGGATCCAGGGAGTTTTACTATCCCTCTTACTATTGGCAGCATGCATGTAGGAAAGTCCTTGGCGGACCTAGGCGCTAGCATTAACGTCATGCCATATAAGTTGTATAAAATGCTAGACCTAGGTGAACTTAGCCCTACTAGGATGAGCATTCAATTAGCTGATCGTTCTATTGTGCATCCTAGGGGAATCATAGAGGATCTGCTTGTTCATGTTGGTGCATTCACATATCCTGTTGATTTTGTTATTCTGGATGTAAATGAGGATGTGGATGTGCCCTTGATTCTAGGTAGGCCATTTCTTGCCACCGCCAAGGCACTAATTGATGTGCATGATGGTAAGTTGATCTTGCGTGCTGGAGATGAACAGGCTACTTTTTCTGTGACTGAGTTTGATCACTGTGCTATGATTGCTGTCACGCCTGTGCATGCTATGTCTGATCAGGTACACGAGTCTGTCGTGTACCCTTCTGCACCTCCTATTTTGCAGGACCCTCCTATCATTCCTTCGCCGCCACTCCATCCAGCCTCGCCTCCGAACAAAAAGCTCAAGGAGGAGTGGCGGCCGAAGCAGCAGGTTGCTAAGCCTGCACGGAAGAAGAGTGGAGACCACTATGAGCTGGTCCCACCTCCTGCACCACGACCACCCTGGCCGTCTGGGTACTCGCTCTCCTGCATCTTGCCAGATGGGTAGGTCGAGCTGACTGATGAGGGTGGTCGCATCCGTCGGGTGCATGGCCACAACCTCAAGCTGTACCTCAAGAGCGATGTGGATCCGCTCTTGGAGGCACCTGTTCTTGCACCTCCCTGAGTATCCACCATGGGCGTCCAGCTAATACGACGGTAAAGAAGCGCTTGTGGGGAGGCAACCCCACCACGGTTTGATTTTCTTTCTTGTGTTTTAGGTCGGATTGTAACCCGTTTTGGGTTTGGTTTGTTTTCTTTTGGTTTGGATGATATTTTATTGGGCTGACCATTGAACCTAACATATTGTGTTTGAGCTCTTCTGTGCCCCTTTGGCTGTGCTTGCCCCGACTGGCCCGTTTCCAGTCCCCTGCAGTCCCTGCATACCGGTAACATCGTTCCCTTTCCCTTCTCTCTTCTCCATTGAGGGCAATGTCGATCTTAAATGTGGGGGGATGTTTATCTTCTAACGATGTTTATCTTTTGACTGCATTAGATCTGTTTGTGTGCTTGGAGCCTAGTCCAGCCTAGTCCACTGTCCAAATTTTTAAATTTGAGGGCTCCAAGTACGTGTTTCCTTGCAATTGCCTGCTCAGTATGCTTTGAATTGACAGTCTTTACAGTAATATGCAACCTAGGGAGGTAGTGTAGCACTATGGAGGATGTTGATGCATTTAAGAAGTCTCATTTCTTCTTCATATTGAGTTGGCCGATTGAGTGAATTAGTGATCGTAGGAACCTTGAATTGTGTGGTGTTGTGGATTCTCTGCCTGTCATGGACTCTTGTATCATGTTTTGAGTTTAACAGGTGCTCGAAAATGTGCTTCAAAATAACGTCTCCCGTGCGAATAGGGCGAAAGTGTGTAAGGGGAGACGGGAATCCGTTCCCAATTTCCACCTACTACCTCCAGCCCCCTTACATGTCTTTCCCCCGCACGAGGCTCGAGACATCCGCTCCTGGCATGGCCGGTAAGAGCAGGTTGGGACCCTTGAAAAGAAAAGAAAAGGAAAATAACAGAAAACAAGCAAAACAGAAAAAAGGGGTTCCAACCATCTTTAAGCAGAAAATAGAGCACCTTGAAAAAATGTGAGTCCATGATCTTTTGTTTTAGAGAATCTCTTCATCAACGATTCATTTGTCCTCTGTTCACTGTTTGCCATGATGCCGACTTGTCGAAGAAGCTATGAGATGACTTGTGCGTTGGTTGACCTCGTAAGTTGCTAATTGACCTAGGAAGTCCTCTACCTACGATCTGGGTTGTTTGTTGCTATAGAGGTCTGGAGAGTTGCATTGGTTTGAGTTAGGTTTGCTTGGGGACAAGAAAACGGTTAAGTGTGGGGGAGTTTGATAGACCGTTAGTTACACATGTTTTCACCCCTGTTCTTACCGTTTGAGAGGTGGTTTCTCGTGTTTTACACCGATTTCACGCTAAGTTGTGCTTGTTTGTGATATTTCAGGTCTTGGCAAGTGAATGAAGGTTTAGGAGCGAGTTCGGGGTCGATTGGGCGAATTTCGGGCGCGAGGCAAGTCGCAAAGTAGGTCACACGGGCTGCCCTGATGTTCACATGGCCGTGTGAAGGAATGGCCTGGCCGTGCGAGTTTCGCCGAGAGCAGACACGGGCAGAGTAGAGGATCGACACGGCCGTGCAAGTGGCCGGGTTGGCCGTGCCACATTCTGCGAGAGCAAACACGGGCAAGATGGGATGTCCACACGGCCGTGCCATTCTGGCCGTGCAAAGCCTGGAATTCGAACTAAATGAAACGATGCGTTTTGACTCACACGGGCAACTGGGTGAGCTGCACGGCCGTGCCACCCTGGCCGTGTGAGTCGGGATTTCCTCCTTTTAAGCAGAATTTCAGCCACAATTCGGGGGGATTCGAGTTTTTGAGAGAGAGATCAGTTCCTAGAGAGAGAAAGTGACGAGCAAGAGTTCCCAAGTGCCCTAGATTGATCTTCAACACCATTGGAGGCCAGCTTGAGCTTGGAGAAGTGCCAATCAACGTCCAGAAGCAGGAATCCATCCTTTGCAGTATGAATTCCGTGTCTGATTCTGCTTTAGCTTTCTTCTCTATGGAGTAGTTCTCCCATTCATCTGGGTATGGAGAACCCTAGATTTGTATGTTAGGCTTTGATTGTATGAACCCAAGTACTGATTCTATGATTGATTATATTCGATTGAGGTTTTAATGATTGAATGACTTGAATCCTGATCAAATTCCTGTTGTTTCTGCTTTGACCTAGAATGAGAATATCTGCCTAGGTTAATAGAGTATCCTTGATTGAAGGTAGGGAGTTGGTGACTTTAGTCGAGGAGCCAACTCACTATTCTGTACCGGATTTACTCCGGTAGTGGAGGTTTTGTTCTTAGGGCCTCAATCTGTCTACTCCGGTGGAGGTTAGTCGCCCGCTAGAGATTCAGATTGAGAGGGTCTGAAGACCTTTAGTCGAGACTTCAGGCTGTTTAAGAACCTTCCGCAGTATAACTGTCATAGAAACTGAACTTGGTAATTACAATCCGGCTTAACTGCAGTCTAGGGGGAACCATATCCGGGTGACCTCTTTAACCTGAATACAACCGTTTACTTGCTTTGTTTGTTTGGTAGATTAGACTTGCACTCCAGTTTTATTGCTAGATAACAAGAACTCACTGAGTAGTCAGCAAAACTAGGACCCGGGTTGATAATTAAACCTAAACCCGCTATACTACGCTTTAGGAAGTGGTTACACTTGGCCAATTCCTGGAGTGACAGTAGAGTCGAGTCACTGACCACTCGGCGATTCGTTACCTGATGAGCAAGGCTGATGCAAAGCCTAGACTCATCCGCTGGATCCTGCTGCTGCAGGAGTTTGATATCGAGATCCGGGACAAGAAGGGAGCCGAGAATGTTGCTGCAGATCATCTTTCGTGGTTGGAAGCCTCTCCGGTGGACAACTTCGAAGAAGAGATCGACGACTCCTTCCCGGGTGAGCGATTGCTGGCGATGACCCTGGTGGACAGCGTGGCCCCTTGGTATTCTGACTTTGCCAATTATCTGGTGGGCAAGCAGTTACCCAAGGGGATGGCTACTCATGCGAAGCGCAAGTTCTTCTCCGATCTGAAGCACTACTTTTGGGAGGATCCTTACCTCTTCAGAATCGGAGCAGATGGCGTGATCCGGCGCTGTGTCATGGAGCATGAGATGGGAGACATCCTGTCCCACTGTCACGAGGGACCCACAAGAGGTGATCATGGAGGAAACCGCACGGCGCGGAAGGTGCTACAGTCGGGCTTCTATTGGCCCTCGCTCTTCAAGGATGCCGACACCTTCGCACGACAGTGCGACCGCTGCCAAAGGTCAGGTAACATTTCTGCCCGGGATGAGATGCCCCAACATATCTCTGTTGTTTGTGAAATTTTTGATGTTTGGGGTATCGATTTCATGGGCCCATTCCCTCCATCTTTTGGCAATCTGTACATTTTGGTTGCAGTGGACTACGTCTCGAGGTGGGCAGAAGCTCAAGCCATGCCCACCAATGATGCAAGACGGGTCTGCTCATTTCTGAAGCAGCTGTTCTCCCGGTTTGGGACACCTCGCGCCATTATTAGTGATAGAGGAACCCATTTTCAGGGGCAATTCACTAAACTCCTCTCTCGCTATGGCGTTAAGCATCAGGTGTCGGTGGCCTACCATCCCCAGTCAAATGGGCAGGCCGAGCTGACGAACCGGGAATTAAAACGGATAATTGAAAAGACGGTGGATCAGTCCCGCAAGGATTGGTCCACCAAGCTCGATGATGCTCTCTGGGCGTATAGGACTGCCTATAAGAACCCGATTGGCACTTCTCCCAATAGGCTTGTCTATGGGAAGGCGTGTCATTTGCCGGTAGAGCTAGAGCACAAGGCCTTCTGGGCCATTAAGCTGCTAAACATGGATTTGAGTGTTGCAGGTACAGAACGTAAGTTGCAGCTGCTGGAGTTGGAGGAGTGGCGTTACCACGCCTACGAGAACACCCTGCTCTACAAAGAGCGCATCAAGCGTCTCCACAACGCTAGGTTGAGGGGCCCGAAGGAGTTTCAGGTAGGTGATCGTGTTCTGCTCTTCAATGCACGCCTGAAACTCTTTCCGGGCAAGCTCTGTTCGAGGTGGTCGGGTCCCTTCACGGTGACCCACGTTTTCCCGCACGGTGCGGTGGAGATCAGCAATGCTCAAACCGAGCCATTCAAGGTGAATGGCCACCTCCTAAAGTTGTACTTGGGAGGTGCTGTCGAGCGCGCAGAGCTGCTGATCAAGCTCGAGGACCCTTAGTTCCTCTACTGGCGTCCAGCTAAAACACGGTAAAGAAGCGCTTGTGGGGAGGCAACCCCACCACGGTTTGCATTTCTATCCTTTTTCCTTTTTAATTTTTGTCGTTTTCGAGTCATTGAGTCTGTCTGGAGTCTTTCTGGAATGTTTCTCGTGCCCCGGATGGTCTATTTTGGTCTATGGTGGTGTATTTTTTGAACCGGGGCACGTTTGGGTTTGGATGTTCGAATTTGCAGCTTAAAAACTGGAGAAAAAGGGCCCTCGGCAGTAAAATTACGGGCATGGGGGGAGTAATTACGGTCGTAATTCATCTACCCCCTGCCCGTAATTTTTTCCAGAACAGCAAAACTGAAAAACGGGCTCGGCATAGAAATTACGGGCAAGGGGGTAAGAATTACGGTCGTAATTCTTAACACCCCTGCCCGTAATTCGCCCAGAAGGGGCAGAGTGCGCTCGGCCATTAAATTACGGGCAAGGCCAGGGGGAATTACGGCCGTAATCCTGCCCGTAATTCCCCCCGAGCCTCGTTTAAAAAGTGGCGGCCGAGACCCCACTCTCTCTCTCCCCCATTTTTCTGGTCAGTTTCTCTCCCCTCTCACCGGAAAACTCGAACCACTCTCTTCTCCGGTGGTTTTCCAACCATATCTCGCTCACCGGAGGTCCAAATTAAATTCCGAGACCACCCCCGTGCTCCTCTCGTCGGCGCCCACAAGTCTATACCAGTGGGGTCGAGTTTCGTGGTGGTTTGGGTCGCCGGAAAACCGCGACCCTTCGGTGTTCCTCCGGCCCGATCTCCCTCCTCGGATCTCTGATCGAGAAACCGCGACCACCACCGCGTTCCTGGTACTTGGGGCTTCATTCCCCAAAGCTTTGGGTGAGTTTGGCTCAGGTGAAGTCGCCAGCGACGAAACTCCGGCGAGCCTCCCGGCGAGTTTCCCGGCGATTTTGGTGGTCTCTCGGTCTTCCCTCACCTTCCCCACGATATCCTCTTGTGCCTCCAGGTTTGCTTCTATACTTTTACTTGTCATTTGTGGAGGATTGATATTGTGGTTTAGTGGGGAATTTCGGGAATTGGTTTGTGCTTGAATTAATTCGGTAGGCCTCCATTGTTGCTTGCCTTGTTTGTTCATCTTTCGGTTGGCCTACCGAGGAATATGAGTTGTGATTGTCCCGCTTGGAGCCTAATTTGTTGTCCGGGTTTATAATCCGAGGGCTCCCAGTGCGTTTGAGTTTCTGTGAAGGGTGAATGATTCTGATTGGTTGTGAATGGTGAATGATTCTGATTGGTTGTGAATGGTGAATGACTCTGATTGGTTATGAATGTTTTTCCTTTCTCGGGGCCTAGTCCACTGTCCGAATTTATGATTCGAGGGCCCCGGGTGAGGATGATTGTGACCTCACCATTGACGCATTTCCATGTATGTTGTTGGGTTTCTGCTGTTTTGTGGCTGCAGGAAAATGAACACGTACTTGAACCTGCTCGACGCCGACCAGAGGAAGACTTTGGGGGACATCCGACGCCGCAAAGTCGTTCCCCACCACTACCTCGACTGGAGGGTCTTCGAAGAGCTAGGTGCTCGCGAGGCAATGGAGGCTGCCATCTGCGCTTTCTCTTGGCTCCGCCTCCTCTGCCTTGCCGAGCCGGTTTATCAGGAGCTCCTCTGGGAGTTCTACTCCACCTTCGAGCACTTCCGGACCCACGCGGGCGCGCACGGCAACGCCATCCAGTTCCGACTCGGAGGGGAGTTCTACTCCCTGAGCTATGACGACTTTGGTCGGGCACTGGGGCTCCTTCCACCATTCCCCTGTCACCTGGCCATCGAGGAGCTTGACAGTCCCATCTTTCGGGACCAGCAGTTTTTCGAGAGGATCTGCCTCCCGGAGTTTGCAGGAGCTGTTTTCACACCGGGCCACACCACGGCCACTCAGCTGCGACCAGAGTGGCGCATCATCAACCAGCTGTTGGGGAAATCCTACACACCCAGCGAGGGCTCCACCAGTCATCTCCAGCTCCGCACCCTGCATTGCCTGCACTCCATGAGCCACGAGGTGGACAACCTCCATCTGTCCTCTCTCATCGCCAGGACCGTTGCCAAGCATAAACGGTGTAATCGACGCCTGGCGTGTGGGCCGGTGGTCACTGCCCTGGCGCGGTACTACAACGTCGACCTCTCCTGGTTCACTGTCATCCAGGAGGCGACGCCATTCTCCAGGGAGACCCTCCGGCGCCAGCTGATACTGGAGCGCGACGGGAACGTGGTCTGGATCAGGGGCCTTCCTTGCCCTGTTCCTCGTGCACCAGAGGGTGAGGAGCCACCAGAGGCCAGTAATGCTGCAGCCCGTCGGACCACCCGCCGGACGAGGACTCGGCCCACCCCCTCTGCACCGGGCGACTCCACTTCCGGTGCCGGCCCGTCTGATCACTTGTTCTTGACAGTCGTTTATGCATCTAGTTCAGGGTATCAGAATGTGAGATAGAGCATATAGGTAGCCATGTGAGATTTGAGCCTGCTCGTTTCTTTCTTGTGCGATAGATCCCTCTTCCATGATGTGTAGCATTCACGTTGTCACTAGCTAATATGATGGGGGCATAGGATTAGCCCACGCCCAAAAACTGACTGTCCTGATGTGTCATATCCCCTAGTCAGCCCCTTTGAGCCGTGTGTTATCCTTTCTTTTGGTCTATAACGAAAAAAATCACCCTTGTTGCATCTTTTAGAAGGTTCCACAGAGTGGTTGTTACATATTCTCTGCTGTTTCTGCTGAAGTTTATGTGAGTGTTGGAGGTAGTGCTTAAAAGTTGGGCAGATGTTTGAAATATGTGCAGAAGTGGTGGCTCTCTTAAGAAATGAAAAGAAAAATGAAAGAAAAACAAAGAAAAATTGGAAGCAAAAGAGAGCAACTACCAAAAATCTGAGTAATGCCCATTAAGTAGTGTTTCTTGATGTTTATGCCTCCTTCGCTCTTGTGCTCTTGAGATGTTGAGTATTGCAGAATAGCAGAAAGGGAATACCGGTTTGTTTGACTGTGATTGTGTGGGTTTGGAAATGTGGAACCTTTTGCTATGAATACTTCCACCACCTAAAAGGCCTTTTCCCCATGTCCAAGACCCTAGCCAGTCATTTGAACCTGTTCCTAAGACCTCCTGATTAGTTAGTGATGACATTATGTATGTGAACTCTAGCATTTAGAGGCTGCCATCATGGTGAAGAGATGTTAGGGACTGAGAGAAATAGCATGCGCATTTTTCGCATTAAATTGTCCTGACCCCACTGGTCGAGAGTGAGTGATTCATTTTCATATTCTATATACTCTTGTACCCCGGTGAGGACCTAGATTGCTCGGTCTCTGTTCTGATGTCTTGAGTTGGATGCATGAGTTGACTGTTTTGAGTGAGTGGTCGAGTCGAGTCTGGGTTGGTTGGTGAACAGAGGGGAAACTCTTCCGTTGCTCGATTTTGCTGCACTCGAATGTCCTTTGTGGTGGTTGTCCAGGTTGCTATTAAAGTTGTTCATGTGTTGATGTTTGAAAACCAGTATGACTCACGTGTTCTGTGCCTTTATGACTTGTCCCCAATGTTGGTCGACTGAAATATGTGAGCTTACCTTGTGTAGTACTTGGTTTGCTTGGGGACAAGCAAACAGTTAAGTGTGGGGGAATTTGATAGCATCGTATTTGCACGTGTTTTCACTCTGGTTTCCAGCCCATTTTGGCTCGAATTTATTGTTCCTTGACCTATTTTACGCTAGGTTGTGTTGTTTTGTCGTATTTCAGGTCCTAGCAAGTAAGGAGGTGCTTAGGCGCAAGTTTCGGGTCATTTGGAGGTCAGATGGCGAATCACAGACAGAATTACGGGCAGCCCCTGCCAAATTACGACCGTAATTGGCCAGGGCGTGCCCGTAAATTAATGGCCGAGCCTTCTCCCCAGAATTTCCTCTCGGTGATAAATTTACGGGCAAGACCCCAAGAATTACGACCGTAATTCCCAAATTACTGGCGGTAATTGGGAAATTACGGGCGTATCTCCTCCTCATGCAACTTAAGTGAAACGTGCGTTTTGGTGCGAATTACGGGCAGGACGTGATTACAGCCGTAATTCTGCCCGTAATTCGCCCAGAGTCGGGTTTTTGGAGGCAGATTGGAGCCAAGGAAGAGGTATTCGATTTTCTGGAGCAAAAACAGAGTTTTAGAGAGAGAAAGAGCGAAGAACAAACCCTAGGAGCTATTTTGGAGTGGATTTCTCATCATTGAAGCCCAGATTGCGTCCCTAGGAGTGAAGATTGGCATCCCAGAGCAGATTTTCCTCATCTTTATGAGTATGACTACTCTGATTTCTGTTTTCCTTTCTCTCTCTATGGAGTAGAACCTTTCTCTCACTTGGGTATGAAGAACCCTAGTTCCTTGTGTTAGAGATTCGATTGTAATGACTTGGGATGATATTACTGTTTGATTTTAATCGAATGATGCATGTTTATTGAATTGATTGGAGTCTGATCAGCTTTTCTCATTTTCTGCTGCAACCTGAGATAGATAGAATCTGATTAGGTTGTTAGAGCTTCTTCATTCGATAGTAGGAGATTGGCTATACGAGAGTTAGCCAGTTTACTGCTTTGTACTGGAATTCAATTCCAGTAGTGGAGTTCTGTGCTTATTGCTTCAGCTTTCTATCCCGGTGAAGACTAGTCGTCTGCCGGATAGTTAGACTGAGAGGGCTTGGTCAGCTTAAGAGATTCCAAGCTACTGTCGGATCTTCCGCAGTCTAATCAACAGTAAATCAACCCAGGGAATTACAATTGAACCTAACTAAGGGGCTAGGGGGACTCATTCCCGAGTGACTGTTGCCTGCTTTAGAAAACCGAACAAGTTACTGCTTTCTTACTGCTTTTGCTTTTAAACAACAATCACTCGAATTAGTTTGCTAGATAATAGAGAATCACGGAGTAAGCAGTAGATCTAGACCCCGGGTTAATAATATAACTTGCCTGTTACTGCATTCCCAGACTGCGATTTCACTTGGTCGCAGTTTGGTGTTGTGTTTTGGCGTGTCAGGAGGTCACCAAAATTTTAGTATTTCTAAGCCAGACTGCTAAGAAACACTACTAAATGAGCATGATTCATATTTTTTATAGTGGATCTCTTTTGCTTTCATTCATTTTTATTTCATTTCTTGAGAGAACCACCACACCTCTGCACATTTTTCAAACACATGCTCAAGTTTTAAGAACTACCTCCAACCCTCACATTATTTTTAGCAGAAACAGCAGAGAAAATACAAAACCACTGACACGCTAAAACACAACACCAAACTGCGACCAAGTGTAATCACAGCCCGGAAATGCAGTAACAGGCAAGCTCTATTTGTCAACCCGGGGTCTAGATCTACTGCCTACTCCGTGAATAATTATTATCTAGCAAACTAAGTCGAGTGATTGTGATTTTAACTAAAAGCAGTAAGAAAGCAGGAAATGGTTCGGTTTTCTAAAGCAAGGGAAGAGTCACTTGGGAATGAGTCCCCCTAGCTCCTTAGTTAGGTCGAGGTTGTAATTACCCTGGGTTGATTAACTGTTGATTAAACTGCGGAAGATCTTACAGTAGCTTGGAATCTCTTAAGCTGACCAAGCCCTCTTAGGCAGGCTAACCGGAAGGATACTAACCTTCACTGGGATAGAATGCTGAGAATATAAGCACAGAACTCCACTACTGGAATTGGGTTCTAGTACAAAGCAGTAAATCGATTAACTCTCGTATAACCAATCTACCACTACCGATTTATGAAGCTCTAACAACCTAATCAGATTCTATCTATCTCTGGTTGCAGCAGAAATCAAGAAAAGATGATCAGACTTCAATTGACTCAATGAATCATGCATCAATCGATTAAAATCAAACAGTATAACAATCCCAAGTCATTACAATCAAGATCCCTAACACATAGAACTAGGGTTCTTCATACCCAAGTGAGAGAAAGTTCTACTCCATAGAGAGAAAGGAAAACAGAAATCAGAGTAGTCATACTCATAAAGATGAGGAAAATCTGCTCTGGGATGTCGATCTTCAATCCTGGGGATGCAATCTGGGCTTCAATGGTGAGAAATCCACTACAAATAGCTCTTAGGGTTTGTTCTTCGCACTTTCTCTCTCTAAAACTCTGTTTTTGCTCCAAAAAGTCGATTCCCCCTCCTTTGGCTCGATATTGGGTTAAAACCCAAAATTTCCCGACCACACGGCCGTGTGGCTTTCCAGTCTGCCCGTGTGGATGTCAAAATGCGGCGTTTCGATTAGTGGAATTCAGGCATGCTGCACGGCCAAAGGAACACGGCCGTGTGGATTTTGAGTCTGGCCGCGTGAGCTCCTTGGACTTTCCACACGACCACAAGGGGTCCAATACACGGCCAGTGCGATTTGCCCGTGGCGAGATAGGGATCAACTTGAATGGTTTCTCTCTCCCCTCGATCGCAGCTTCATCTAGCTCCGCGAGCTGCTCCTCCAGCTGCAGCTCCTGCGATGCCTGTTCCCCTAGCAAAAGACAACGCTCGAGGAAATCGTCAGTACCCGCACTCGTGATGGCGATTGCGGTCTCAAAATCAGCAATAACATCGCAGTAGTCTAGATCATCATGGAGCTTGGGGGTGTTTCATATTATCAGAAACAGAGAAGGTGATTTGTTCACCCCCAGCCCGCAAAATTAATTTCCCATCATTCACATCAATAAGCGCCTTGGCGGTGGCGAGAAAAGGTCTACCCAGTATTAAAGGCACATCCACATCCTCATTTATATCAAGAATCACAAAATCAACAGGATATGAGAATGACCCTACTGCGACTATCAAGTCCTCTGCAATGCCCCTAGGATGCACAATGGATCTATCATCAAGTTGAATGCTCATCCTAGTATTACTAGGTTCACCTAGGCCTAGATTTTTAAACAGTTTATATGACATGACATTTATGCTAGCGCCGAAATCCGCCAAGGACTTTCCTACATGCAAGCTACCAATCATGCAAGGGATAGTAAAACTCCATGGGTCTTTGCGCTTCTCTGGTAGCTTGTTCTACAGGATGGCAGAACACTCCTCGTTGAGCATCACCGTCGACAGCTCCCCAAGTTTCCTCTTTTTGGTGAGGAGATCCTTCATGAACTTAGCATACTTGGGCATCTTCGATAATGCCTCCACGAAGGGCATACTGATGTTTACCTGCTTCAGCATTGCCATGAACTTGGCAAACTCTGTCTCCAGTCGGTCTTTGTGCGACCGAGTAGGAAAGGGAAGTTGCGAGACATACTCCTTCACCACTGGTTGTGGCTTAGGAGTAGGCACCTCAACCTCCTTCTCCATTTCTTCTTCGTTAGCTGGAAGTACTAAAGTAGGGATCTCTCTCTCCTATGCCGGACAGGTGGGTCAGCAGTCACTTTGCCACTCCTGGTAGTAATGGCCTTGCAGTGCTCATTTGGGTCTCGCGGATGAGGAATGGTCTGACCAGGTAAAGTACCAGGAGTCCTCTGGGCTACAGCCTATGCCACACTCCCGAGCTGGGTCTGGATATCTCGCAGCACAGCCTGCGTGTTTCTCTGGCCAGCTTCTAGCTCCAAGAATTTACCTGAAGCTTTCTCCATGAACTGCTCGATGTTGCTGAACTTATTCGCACTGGAGGTGGCCAGAGAACCCACCAGATCTTGCAAATCGGCCATCGATTCACTCTGTACAGGGGCTGCACCTGACTGCTGAAATGGCTCCATCTGTGAATGAGGAGGAACTGGCCCCTGTCTGGGCGGATAAAGAGGCTGTTGCGGCTGAAATTGCCCTTGTCTGGGCTGGTAAGGAGGCCTCTGGAAGCTTGGCGGTCCCTAGGAGAGTGGTGGTC